GAAGACCAGCAGCTGGCGCGGAAGCCGCACCGCGAGCTCGACGCAGAGGCGCAGCGCGAGGGCTGGACGCTGCGGACCAGCAGCGGCGGGCGCGCCCGTGGGAGGAGACGACATCGTCTTCGGGAGGATAGTCCAGGGTACTCCTCCTCCTCCTCTCCTCTTCCTCCTCCTCCTCCTCCTCCTCCTCCTCATCATCATCATCATCATTATTATCCTCCTCCTCCTCCTCCTCCTCCTCCTCCTCCTCCTCCTCCTCCTCATCATCATCATCATCATCATCATCATCATCATTATTATCCTCCTCCTCCTCCTCCTCCTCCTCCTCCTCCTCCTCCTCCTCCTCCTCCTCATCGTCCCCCTCCCCTTTTCCCCCTCGGGGACACAGCCCGGCGACAATGCCGGCGGTCCCGCACAGTTGCCCCACCTACGAGGCAAGCACCTCTTGGACACAGTCTGGCGGCAATGCGAGCGGCTCTTGTTTACTTTCGAGACGTCGGAGGTTCTGCCCTCCGGGACAGCCCGGCGGCAATGCCGGTGGTCTTGCTGCAAGACTACCCCACCCACCAGGCAAGCACCTCTTGGACACATTCTGGCGGCAATGCCAGCGGATCTTGCTTATTTTCGACACGTCAGACGTTCAGCCTTCCGGGGCACAGCCCGGCGGCAATGGCAGTGGTTCTGCACACCACGTGTCTCCTGACACAGGCTGGCGTCCAGCAATTCTTGTTGTATTCTCGTCACGCCGGAGGTTCAGCCCTCCAAAACACAGCCCGGCGGCACCGCCGGCGGTCCTGCACAACTACCCCATCTATGAGGCAAGCGCCTCCTGGACGCAGACTTGGGGCAATGCCAGCGGCTCTTGTTGTACTCTCATCACGTCGAAGTTTCTAGCCTCTGGGATACAGCCCGGCGGCAATGCCGGAGGTTCTTGTTTATTTTCGACACGTCGGACGTTCAGCCCTCCGGTACACAGCCCGGCGGCAATGCCACTGGTCCTGCACAAATACTCCACCCACGTGCCTCCTGACACAGGCTGGCGTCCAGTAGTTTTCGTTGTATTCTCGTCACGCTGGAGGTTCAGCCATCAGCCTGGCGGCAACGCCGGCGGTCCTGCACAACTACCCCATCTACGAGGCAAACGCTTCCTGGACACAGACTGGGGGCAATGCCAGCGGCTCTTGTTGTATTATCATCACGTCGGATGTTCTATCTCCTCTGGGACACAGCCCCGCGGCAATGCTGGCGGTCCTGCACAAGTACCTAGATGACTCTTTGGTTTACTATCGTTTACCGTGGATAGCTAGTTGGTTACCGAGCAGTTCTCTATTTTGCGATAGTTTGCAGGCACACTCACAAAAGCTTACAAGCTGTCCAAACCATAGCAAAGCACAGGATCATCTCAGTACCCCCCCCAGGAGGCAAGCTCCTCTTGGACACAGTCTGGCGGCAATGCCAGCGGCTCTTGTTTGCTTTCGACACATCGGAGGTTCTGGCCTCCCGGACACAGCCCGGCGGCAATGCTGGCGGTCCTGCGCAAACTACCCACCTACGAGGCAAGCGTTTTCTAGACACAGGTTGGCAGAAATACCAGCGGCTCTTTTTTAGTTACTTCACACGTCGGAGGTTCTGGCCTCTGGCACACAGCCCGGCGGCAATGCCGGCGGTCCTGCACAACCAACGCACCAACGAGGCAAGCGCCTCCTGGACGCAGCCTGGCGGCAATGCCAGCGGCTCTGGTTTAGTTTCGACACGTTGGAGGTTCAACCCTCTGGGACACAGCCCGGCGGCAATGCCGGCGGTCCTGCACAACTACCCCACCCACGAGGCAAGCGCCTCCTGGACACAGGACACAGTCTGTCGGCAATGCCAGCAGCTCTTGTTGTACTCTCGTCACGTCGAAGGTCCTGCCCTCCAGGACACAGCCCGGCGGCAATGCCGGCGGTCCTGCACAATTGCCCCATCTACGAGGCAAGCGCCTCCTGGACATAGCTTGGCGGCAATGCCAGCGGCTTTTGCTCACTTTGGACACGTCGGAGGTTCAGCCATCCGAGACACAGCCCGGCGGCAGTGCCAGCATTTCTGCACGACCATGTCGATTTCTGCGCATTTCCCTGACGCTCCAGAGCCTTCAGAAATGTAAGGGGGCCGTATAATGTAAAGGCTGCGTGACAATATACAGAAATTGATATGTAGCTTTAGGTGTGTGCGCTCTATCTCCCCAGTCTGCCAAGCCGGTTGCTTGTGACACCGATCGCCAGGTGTACGCCTCGCGAGGCTGTGCAATCGGTGCCGCTCCAGAGTTACACACTGATCCCGTCAGATCCCGTCAGTCACCTGTGACAGTATATGCCCGGCTGATTGGGGACTTAGGGCTCAAACGATCTTAGTGCCCCTCCGGCACCGCGCTCGCGCAACGGGAGGTCTGGACCAAAGGGTTCGCAGTCAGAGTCTCTCGGCACCCATGTAAATCTTTTGCGTCTGGGGTTGCGGACATAATGACCACGTGCTCGTGTGCGAGGCAACGCAGTGGCAGCAAGGTCATGTGCCATTGGGTTTCCCAACGATGCCTCCCTCCCTGCTCTGGGCTCGTGGGGGTACCCCTGTCTGCTCAAGGGCGGGCGGCCGACCGGCCGGAAAATCGAGACTTGGGCCAGAACTCTTCGGTACAAGCTTGTGCCCCTTTTCTGGCCAGGTCATGGCTATATCATCGCACCAAGGCCGACACTTGGGGGACAAATCCTGCCCCCCCTCCTTGGCTATGGAGTGCGAGTGCCGTGCGATGCCACACAGCGAGTTGAAGTTGTCACGTAAGTTTGACGCGATTTCTCTCGATCCTACGGCCAGTTGTCGGGCTCTGGGGAGGTCCATTTCTGTCCACGGCAGCGTGACCGATGATAGGTTGATAGCCGGTATGTGCGGGAGCCCTCCTTCGTATTCGTTGCCTTTGGTCCAAGCCGTGCAGCAGGGTCCCCCCTTTCACGATCCGTCCTGCTGGGGAGCAGATCGGATGGGCCTGCCTTTCTTCCCCCAGTGTTCGAGGTCCCCCCCTCCCGAGGAGAAGGTCCCCGTGCCATCACAGCAGTGGTGATCCGCACTGCTTGGATCCCCGCCGTCACCACGGCGACCCTGTTCACCATCGCGTGAAGGAGCGGGCACGCAAAGCGTGCACGACCTCGTCCAGCCCAGTGTGTCTCCGAGGCCTTCCTGGCACCGCTGTCGGCGGCCAGGAGGCGACATCCACAGGCACTGCGACGGCATCACTAGCCCCCCCCCCCCGGCTGAGGCACCGCAGCAAAGCGCCCTTGCGCCCCGGTCGAACACTCTGCAGCCATGCTGGCCCGAGTCACTTTGACCGTTGACCCACCTGGGCGTCCTGCAAGCAGGCCCCGTCCCCCAGAGTGCCCGAACCGCCCGGGATTGGAGGGGGCCAAACGTTGGACCCTTCCGCTTGGCCCCCCGAGCGCGCCCAAACGGCGCCAAAGCTGCGAGAGAAGCTCTGCGACGGCGAGCCGCCGGGCGACACGAGGAGACCCCCGAGGCCAAGCCACGAGGCCCAGACAGGGCCCGAGCCAAGCAGAAACCACCCCCACGGGGGCGGGCGGGCACCCCCCACGGCAGCCGCCGGCGGCCGCCCCCCTCCCCCCAAGACGCCCAGGGACGGAGCACCTCGGGCCCCAGATGTTCGAGGTGAGTCCAGCGGCGCTGCTGCCCAGGCGGCCTGCAAGTCTGGGGGTGGAGGCCATTCGAGATAGGGTCCCGCCTCACGGCCCGCTTCTTCTCTGCGGCCGAGGCCGCTCTACCCTTCGGGATCCGCCCCGCGCACTCTCTCTTGAGGTCGCGGGCGCCGCTCTCGGCATAGGTCCCGCACACTCGGCAAACAACGAAGCTCTCAAAGCGAAAGTAGTTCGGAACGCCGTTCCATTTGCTCCAGCGGCCGATTTTGGAACGCCCTTCCCAAATCAGCCCGAGGGCCCCAAAGGGACGGGCATCTTTTGCTTCAGCGGTGAATTTTGGAACGCCGTTCGAAACCCGCCTTAGGCCTGCAAAGGCAGATTTGGAAGTCAGCCCATCTGTTTTCGTTTGCTATACCGAGCAGCTGCCACAGCTTTCCTGTGGAGCATGTCCACCCTGTCACCCCTACGGTGGCGATCCGGCCTGCTGCGGCGCAGGTCCCCCTGTCAACCATGGGGTGGCGATCCGCCCTGTTCTGGGGCAGGCTCCCCTTGTCACCCCCAGGGTGGCGAGGAAATCTGATGTGGAGCAAGTCCTCCCTGCCACTCCTAAGGTGGCAATCCGTCCTGCTGAGGAGCAGGTCCCCCCTCTTTGGGCCATACTCGAGAAATTGTCCAACGGTGCGTTCGTTGTGCACCAAGGTCTGGCTGCACCAATCGCGCTTCACGCGAAACCAGGGGCCACACATCTCCTGGTTTCCGTGGCTTCACATTCCCCGGGGATGGGCTCTCCTTTCCTCAATGATGGAAATCGACGCTGTTGATCTTCCTCGTGGGTCATCGTTTGACCGACTTTGGGTCCACTTGGGACCCGCTGGAGGTCTTCCTGCTGCTCTGGCAGGTCCCAACATGAAGATCTTCGCTGCTGCCTTTCTTTATGGGCCATCCTGTGACCGCCCTGGGGGCCCTTTTGGGACCCTCGTGCGGCCTTCCTGCGACTATGGCAGGCTCCTAGCCCAGAGCGATCTCGTTCCATGCGTTCTGGGCCGCGATGTCCGCAGGCCATATCACATGGGGTTAAGGCGCCCGTTAAGACATATCACTTCAAGTCCTCCTCTTCCTCCTCCTCCTTCTCCGTCCACCTCCCTCCTCCCCTCCCCTCTACGTGCCCCCCTCTCTCGGGCCCCTCGCCCTTCCCGTCGTTCCCTCCACTCTCTCTCTGTTCCTCTCATCCTGTACGCGTGTGTGTCCTCGGATCGCTTGTCCAGGCTGAACGGCACCGTGAAGGAGCTGATGCGGCAGCACGATCGCGACACGGCGCAGGAGTCG